GTGATTTAACCTTGAATTTCTCTGCTTAGAACTTGCTTAAGTCTCAAGCGTCCTCCGTCATTCAGGGCCTTTAAGCAGCTAGAGTGTATGGACAAGTCCAGAGTGTCTTTTTGATGGACTTGAATGTTTCTTTTGCTAATTAGGAACCAAGAAGAGAGTCACCTTAAGAGAACCATGGGTAAGAGCTGAGTTTCTTGGTGATATTTACTTTAGTTGGGTCAGTTTAAGGTGTGTGGGCTCCTGGTGTCCGATGGTACGGTTTTCATAAATCCGGCTAGATATATATATTTAGTATTGACCAAATCAGTGGATAGCAACTTTTGCGCGTTCTGATTGGCTCCCGTATCGGAATATCCTTGGATATTCACTGTTTTCGGACTGATTCAAAATGGCTTCCCGTTTCGCGACAGTTACGGAAGATAAAATTTAGCGGTAAAGTGAAGCAGCTGCACCAGCAAATACCAAGAACGAGACAAAATTTGGCTTGTCGGTGTTTACTGGTCGGTAGAAAAAAATTTCTTTCTGAATTTGTAACAAAATCATAAGAAATGATCCCCCTAAACACTGTAAATTGAAACGTAAACAAACTCTAACTAAGTCACGTCTGTTTTTTACAAAAAGTTCCTTTTCGATTTTTATCCAACTATCCCCCTCAGGGTCGGTTCATAGCGCTAGATATATACCTCGACGCTTCGAGTCGAGGTATATATACAGGGTGTTTCAAAAGTTTTTTCATCGATTAAATTTCACTGATTATTACAACTATTTTTTGTAAAACTAAGCATGTTATTAATTATTCATTTAACATTGAATAACTGAAATAGAAGTAACCAAAATGTCTTCCTTTATATTATCTGACATTTTATAAGTGGTGATGTATAGAATGTATGAGCTCTCAAAGCCTGTCTGAAGGCACATTTTTCCAGGCGAAGCGTAGTCACTGTCTTAGCTCGTCCGGTGTTTTTGGGCTGGATCTTTGTATGTTGTCTCGTCAAAGATAATCCAGATGGTCTCTAGGGTTTTCAAATCACTTGAGTTTGCCGGTGGCTCGTCTTTAGCCTGTTCCAGGCTCCGAGATAGTCGGAACAGCGGAATTGAGAAAGCGCGAACACGAAAACACGAAAAAAANGAAAAAAATTTCTTTCTGAATTTGTAACAAAATCATAAGAAATGATCCCCCTAAACACTGTAAATTGAAACGTAAACAAACTCTAACTAAGTCACGTCTGTTTTTTACAAAAAGTTCCTTTTCGATTTTTATCCAACTATCCCCCTCAGGGTCGGTTCATAGCGCTAGATATATACCTCGACGCTTCGAGTCGAGGTATATATACAGGGTGTTTCAAAAGTTTTTTCATCGATTAAATTTCACTGATTATTACAACTATTTTTTGTAAAACTAAGCATGTTATTAATTATTCATTTAACATTGAATAACTGAAATAGAAGTAACCAAAATGTCTTCCTTTATATTATCTGACATTTTATAAGTGGTGATGTATAGAATGTATGAGCTCTCAAAGCCTGTCTGAAGGCACATTTTTCCAGGCGAAGCGTAGTCACTGTCTTAGCTCGTCCGGTGTTTTTGGGCTGGATCTTTGTATGTTGTCTCGTCAAAGATAATCCAGATGGTCTCTAGGGTTTTCAAATCACTTGAGTTTGCCGGTGGCTCGTCTTTAGCCTGTTCCAGGCTCCGAGATAGTCGGAACAGCGGAATTGAGAAAGCGCGAACACGAAAACACGAAAAAAAAAAGGGAGGAAACTTTTCCCTTTTTCCCGCCCCGCCCCCATTTTCGCGCGTCCTAAACTTTCCCGCCTTCCCCACTATCTGAGAATCTGGAACAGGCTAGGTCGCCTTTTGCTATAAAGTTTCCAAATCCCTCCGGCACTATGTCTGCATATGCGACAACCTCATTCCCAGGTTTCTGAGGCGGGTAAGAGAGAACCCTGGGAACGAGGTTGCAAGTGCGCCGCCTTTTTCTCATCAACGTTTGCCAACCTTTTTTAGTCATAAATCTTCATACCGTTGTGCTCGAAACTTTGAAATTGTGAAGTTAATTTTTTTTTAACTTTCTGTGTTGTAGTATTATTATGCATATACTTACAACTTTTTCGACAATATTTCTTACACATTTAAAAAAAAAAAAACGTCCATCCACTCCTTGGTTTGTTTTCTAAAGTCCTTACTTTTGACCACTTATTCACTTATATCGTTCAGACTTGTTCACCAGTTTAGCAATTTCTGTGACTGAATGGCCAGAAGACCGTAAAAATAGATGCCTGAGCGCTAGCGCAAACAGTGCAGGCCTTTATTTTCGTGAAAGAGTTCAGAAAATAAAAGAAAACGGCAAAAAAAATGAAAATAGAAAATGTAAAAAATGGGCAGGAAAAGTATGGTGGGAAAAAACTCGCGTTCATGCACATTTGGAGCAAAACTTCAAAAATATTATAGTTTCTTCAAATTTTAGTTTGAAATTTCTTCGAAAGGTTATTAAGATAAATTTCTTACCTGAATCAGTTTACAGTTGCCTAAAGAAGCATTAAATTCTTTTCGCAAAATACAATTTGCAATCGGAACGAACTTTTGAAACACCCTGTATAGCCACCACTATTCACCTCCCCTTCGGTGGATAGTTGTATAATATTTTCCCGACCACAAAATCATCCTTGCTTCTTTTGCTCGCATTTCAAGCACTTGCGCGTTTAATTTTGGCGGTAAATCTATATCGCATAACGACTCGGACTTTTGGAGAGAAAAATCATCAACAGAGCTAAGTCTTCTTTCCGACTAAATTTTAATGTCTACACTGACGTGGATAATAAAGAAAGAGCTTGAGAGAGAGAGATAAGAACAAAGGAGACAAATTTCGATGAAAAAAAAAAACATGAGAAAATGAGACTGAATGCTAGCGGCCACCAAAGCGAAAATGAGCGGCAGTTAAAAAAATTCAATTATAGCGAACAGAAAAACATATACAGCATTTCCTCCACAATTCGTGTTTTGATCATGAGGACGTTTCACGTTTTAGTCGAAAAGTATGCCGCTTTGAACATTTTTAACAAACAAGATAGTTTTGTTTGAAATAGATTTAATTCATGACATAAAATAGCCGAGGGAAAAAACGTTTAGACTTTTTAACGGTCAAGATGGCCATTTTCGAGTTCAAGGGGAATGTAAAATCTTGTAAAGTCACAAGCTCAAAAAAATCAGAGCATCGGTATTGTCGCGTAGCGTTCGAAATATAAGGGTTTGTATGGGATCAAAAACGGTTGTCTCTATAACCTACTAATTTAATTGAATTATATAAAAATCATCTAACTTGACTCAATTAAGTTGTGTTTCTTGTTTCACATGAGTTCGACTTATGTAGACTATAAATAAACCGGTCACAATAAAAGATAACAATAAAAACCAAGAGGCGGGGGGTACTCCCTATAATGGCCTATACGGGGAGGCTTCGCCCGAAATGGGTTCCTTGCTTCAGGCCTCAGGTATATCAAAGGGTAGGATTTCACTAGTTTAACTATATGAAAGGGTGGGAACATCTGTCAGTTGGTTGTAAAAGGCCCAAAAGGACAAACAGGTGCATTTTGGGGCTGTTAGAGAGTCGAGAAAACGTTCTAGTTTTGTGATTAATCCATATTTAAATGACAGGGCATTAACAACAGTTGAAATGAATGCATAGTTCTAAGCCCCCAGGTTCCAAAAAACTGGGTATATGAACGGGGTACCATTTGTCAATAGAAGGCATACAAAAGTCGTACTTTTTCTGTCAAAAATGGTATAAATTAAAAGGTTGGACCTCCGTCCGGAGCCCCCCATGTCAGCTTTCTTTCCCCCAGGCATGTAAATCACACATGAATTTGAATGTTACACATCGATGCGGACGTATATATTTCGAACTTGGGCTACCATGACTACCATGCGCATCCTCTTCTTATACTTTCAAGAGATCATAATCTTGATATTTTACAATAATTTTGTAAGTTCATTAGATGTCCGAGGGGCAGTTTAACTCTTGAGGGGTGGGAAGGATATAGGTTATTTTGAAAAACAAAATCCTGTAAACAGATAGAACGGAAAAAATCCTGCCACGAATTAATAGTCCTAAATTTACACCAAAAAACTTAAAAAGTAGGCTAGGGAAAAGAATTTGAGATCACCAAAACTAAATCTCCCAGCGCCAGCCCCCCTACCCCACCCCCTCCTAAAAAGTAAATAAAGACGCTTAACTAAAGTTTTACATAGAAACAATGGAATCAATACTAAAATGAACAATGCTTATTTAAGTGTTGATGAATGCACTAAAACAAAACGAAATGCTAATACACGGTTCTAAAACATTTCACTCTCCTTGAACACTTGAAGCACAAGGACAGCAACAACCTTGTAGACTTATTTGGGTGTTTGAATGGTATTCATCAAATATTGACAGAGCAGAATTGAGTCAGTTAAAGCGTGCCGTTGTTTAACATTGACACGTGCATATGGCAAAAAAAAATACAAAAGACTACTCAGGACACGAAAAAATGTCATGTAAGGCTCTAGGCCATACAGACGATTACGAGACAGAAGCCACATCACTAGTCAGATCACTTCGCGTAAGACGTGTTACACCTGATCCTTCATCAACCAACCGTCGGCGTAAAAGAAGAAGCCAAACATCATATCTGAGTTGAAATTTTCGCGATGTCTTATTTTCCTTTCCGTTTTCACTTTGGCCTTTTGCTCCTGGCGTTGTTTGTGGCGAGCCAGTCTTTGGCGAAGCAAGCAAACAGCGCCCAAGTAACTACAGTCCCCACAAAACAGTGCACCAACGTCTACAACAGTTTCTACGCGGGTCCAAACAAGAAGATTGAGAATATCCTACAGGAAATGAAGAAGCAACTTGGCGAACTTCAAGAAGATATGAAAATTTTGAAAAATAACAAAACTTCTTCCAAAGGTCCACGGAATAATATTTCTAGAATTCAATTAACCAATGCGTACATATTCAGTAAATAACTCGTATGTAATTATATTAATTTAACGAATACTTCCTCTTTTTTTGCCCAACAGCCAAGGAAAACTGTGCTGAGTTGTACAAATCGGGCGAGAAAATCAGCGGCGTTTATACAATCGATCCTGATGGCGCAGGTGCCTTCGATGTGTTTTGTGACCAAAAAACGGCCGGTGGGGGGTGGACAGTGTTCCAAAAGAGACTTGACGGCTCGGTTGATTTCTACCGCGGTTGGGCTGACTACAAACGAGGTTTTGGTAACCTAAACGGTGAATTTTGGCTTGGGTTGGACAAGATTCACCGCTTGACCAAAACAAAAAGCAAGCTACGAGTTGACCTGGAGGACACTACGGGTAAAACTGCCTTCGCTGAATACAACATGTTTGGAGTTACGAGCGAGAAGGTTAATTATCAGCTTAGCTTGGGAACATACTCAGGTACAGTAAATATAAATGCACTTGCATGGCTTTACATGCTTTTCGAACTCCCCTTTATTACCTCCCTATCTAGTGTTCAGTCCCTAATACGGCACTTGATTTTCTTGCTCATGCACTAAGTACAAGCCCGATGGTTAATTTTTCCCTGCTTGACAGAAAGCTTATTTTTTTTTCTTTGGACCGTTAGATCCCTCAAGTAAGTCTTTTATTTTCTTTTTTTCTTCTCTTTTTTTTGGAAACAGCAGATTAGCATGACTTCACTTTTTAGAAAACGAGCTCTATCATTTTTCCCCAGGAACTTCAGGCGATTCTCTTTCTGGTCATCGTGGTTACCCATTCTCGACTAAAGACCGAGATAACGATAGCTGGTCCAGCAACTGTGCTGTAACATACAAAGGGGCCTGGTGGTATACGGCCTGTCATGCCTCTAACCTGAATGGCCTCTACCATCATGGCAAGCACAAGTCAGGGGCCGATGGTGTCAACTGGGGTGCATGGAAAGGACACAACTACTCCGCAAAGACAGCTGAGATGAAAATAAGACCAGTTGACTTTTGAACCCTCTTCTGATGTCTGTTAGTCCGTCAGCTGTAAATGTTTATCCAATACTAAGAGCATAAAGTACATGGGATAAAATAAAGTCACGTTAAAACTCAGTACAATTCTATGATCAGTATTTTTTCACTTAGTTGGATATCAAGTTATCGGCCGAAGGGGCATCAAGGCCGGACAGGCCACACGGTTAAGCTATTATTCATAACGCTGACTTTTTTCCTGCCGCAAAACTCACACGTCATAAAGACACATCACGGTTGTCCAAATCCATTTTATTTCTCGCGTAACATGTACAAAGTTGCCTTTGTGGGTGGATGGAGCATAATTAAAAGCAACGCAGAGTTATTTTAGGAATAAGGAACAACATTGACAACAAAAATGGTAAGGCTTCCAAGATTTCCATTACTTCTGAGGTGATATGGGCCTCAAAGCCTTTCTGATGTACACCAACCAAAAGCAACTAATTGTCTCGGTGTGGATTACAGTTTCCTGTTCGTTTTTTTTTTTCTTTATGGTTTTTTTTTTCTTTTTTTAACTTTGATGCAGAGAGGCACAGAACATTTTTTAGTGGACAGCTGAAATATTGAAGTGTTTATCGATACATTAAATACAGCGAAAATCTGGAACAGCTGTATGTAAATATCTGAACGCAGCTGTTACCTTGAGTAAGACTGAAACACGTCAGCCCGTGTTTGAAGTTTGACCCTTTTCAGAAGCTTGTCATGAAATGTGACATCATCAACGAAAATCTTTGTAATATTTTCATTGATTATCAGCATTATCAGACATAAACTCTCGAGAACTTTATTGCCCCCAGACACCCCTGGCCCCTAACTGCGGATCCAATGTAGTTCAGGAAGTTTGTTCGATTCCCTCATAATGTAAAATGCTATGCTTCACTAAGTATTTTCACTTAGTACGTTTTCCACCATGAGGTTCTTAGTCCGTTCACCACCCAGCCTGATTTGTCCACCGCGAAATCAGTTCCTCGGCCATCCTTGGAGATACAGCCAAATATGTCTCCTACCGAGGTAAGAAGATTTGGTTATCCTTACATCAACGAAATTTGGGTTCTGACAAAATACCGCCAACCCTTCATGTAAGCTGGGGTGAAATTTCGCATTTCAAGAAATAGAAGGAGTGGATCCTAAAAAAAGGATCTTCACGGCTTTAAATGAAAAAATCGAACAAAAGAAGCAAGTCGGTAATATATATTTTTTGTCAACCAATATTTTGGAACGCAAGGCCTTCCTTCTTCAGGGTCTAACATACAATGAATAGGTAAAGTTATTAGACGTTACAATTTGAAATAAAGGATAGCGTGCAATTCCATACGATACTATAATAACATGTTAAAATTAAATAAGGAAAAAGTGAAAGTTTAGGAAAACAAAAACTCGTTGAAGTCGTTATATGAAAGAAATTGGAAATGTAAAAAAGTATAAATAAATGCAAATCATTTAATCCTTCTTATTCATACCTAAAGGCTCAAGAGTTTAGCCTCTCTAGATTGAGGTATGTTTCTGTAGCTTTTCGCACACTGTCTCTATTACCGACTTAAATGATGAGTTCTAGCAAGAGTTATAATGGTTCCATTATGGCTCTTGGTTCTAATGGAATAAGTGTGATACCGTTAGTGGGGTGATCATAAGTAAGAAAATGTTCTTAGACTGTGGTGAGTTGTACTTTGGGTTTTTAAAGACCATTTCAACGAACACCGCAGACCAGTTGACAACCCATCTAATATCTTCAAACCACCACAGTCTCAGAACATTTCCTTACTAATGATCACTCCGCTAACGACATCACATGCACCCATTTCTATAGAAATCATTCATAAAAAACATTTGGTCAAAAATATATATGTATATATATATTTAGTATTGACCAAATCAGTGGATAGCAACTTTTGCGCGTTCTGATTGGCTCCCGTAACTTGGAATATCCTTGGATATTCACTGTTTTGGGACTGATTCAAAATGGCTTCTCGTTTCGCGACAGTTACGGAAGATAAAATTTAGCGGTAAATGATTAAAGCAGCTGCACCAGCAAATACCAAGAAAGAGACAAAATTTGGCTGGTCGATGTTTACTGGTCGATAGAAAAAACAAAATCATAAAAAATGATCCCCCTAAACACTGTAAATTGAAACGTAAACAAACTCTAACTAAGTCACGTCTTTTTTTTACAAAAAGTTCCTTTTCGATTTTTATCCAACTGATTTGGTAAATACTAAAACAACTATATCCCCCTCAGGGTCGGTTCATAGCGCTAGATATATATCTCGACGCTTCGAGTCGAGGTATATATACAGGGTGTTTCAAAAGTTCGTTCCGATTTTTTCTTCCCTTAAATTTCACTGATTATTAAAACTACCTTTTGTAAAACTAAGTATGTTATTAATTATTCATTTAACATTGAATAAATGAAATATAAGTAACCAAAATGTCTTCCTTTATGTTATCTGACATTTTATAAGTGGCATGGTGAGGTATAGAATGTATGAGCTCCCAAAGCTTGTCTGAAGGCACATTTTTCCAGGCAAAGCGTAGTCACTGTCTTAGCTAGCTAGCTCGTCCGGTGTTTTTGGGCTGGATCGTTGTATGTTGTCTCGTCAAAGATAATCCAGATGGTCTCTAGGGGTTTCACATCACCTGAGTTTGCCGGCCGGTTGTCTTTAGCCTGTTCCAGGCTCCGAGATAGTCGGACCAGCGGAATTGAGAAAGCGCGAACACGAAAAAAAAAGAGAGGAAACTTTTTCCTTTTTTCCGTCCCGCCACCATTTTCGCGTCTTCCCCACTCAGGCCCGTAACCAGGATTTTATGTGAGGGGGTGCTAACGAAGCCGAAGTGGACCAAACTACCGAAATGTACTTTTTTTTATTGATTATCAAAATGCGGACCTTTGGGTCCTGTTGGGGGGGGGGGGTGCGAACGCACCCCGTGCACCCCTCTGGTTACAGGCCTGCCACTATCTGAGAGCCTGGAACAGGCTAGGTCGTCTTTTGCTATAAAGTTTCCAGATCCTTCTGGCACCGTGTCTGCATGTGAGCCAACCTCATTCCCAGGGTTCTAGGCCGGGTAGGAGAGAACCCTGGGAACGAGGTTGCATGTGCGCCGCCTTTTTCTCTTCAACGCTTTCCAACCTTTGTTAGTCATATATCTTCATACCGTTGTGCTCGAAACTTTGAAATTGTGAAGTTGAATTTTTTTTTACCTTTCTGTGTTGTAGACTTGTTACGCATATACTTCCACCTTTTTCGATAATATTTCTTACACATTTAAACAAAAAAAAAACGGCCATCCACTCCTTGGTTTGTCTTCTAAAGTCTTTACTTTTGACCACTTGTTCACTTATATCGTTCAGACTTGTTTAATAGTTTAGCGATTTCAGTGACTGAATGGCCAGAAGACCGTAAAAATAGATGCCCTGAGCGTTAGCACAAACAGTGCAGGCCTTCATTTTCGTGAAAGAGTACAGAAAATAAAAGAAAACGGCCAAAACAGAAAATGTACAAAATGGGTAGGAAAAATATGGCGGGAAAAGACTCGCGATCATGCACATTTGGAGCAAAACTTCAAAAATATTATAATTTCTTCAAATTTTAGTTTGAAATTGCTTCAAAAGGTTATTAAGATAAATTTCATACCTGAATCAGTTTACAATTGCCTAAAGAAGCATTAAATGCTTTTCGCAAAATACGAACGAACTTTTGAAACACCCTGTATATCCACCACTATTCACCTCCCCTTCGGGGAAAAGTTGTATAATATCTTCCCGACTTTAAAAACAGGCTTGCTTCTTTTTTTCGCATTTCAAGCACTTGCGCGTTTAATTTTGGCGGTAAATCTATATCGCATAACCACTCGGACCTTTGGAGGGAAAAATCATCAACAGAGCTGAGTCTTCTTTCCAACTAAATTTTAATGTCTACACTGACGTGGAAAATAGAGAAAGAGCTTGAGAGAGAGAGATAAAAAGAAAGGAGACAAATTTCGATGAAAGAAAAACATGAGAAAGTGAGACTGAATGCTAGCAGCCACCACAGTGAAAATGAGCGGCAGTTTAAAAAAATTCATTATAGCGAACAGAAACATATACAGCATTTCCTCCAGAATTCGTGTAACTAGGAAGTTTCACGTTTTAGTCGAAACGTATGCGGTTTTAAGCATTTTGATGAGAACTGATCACTATCTTCGCGTTAACGAGCAAGTTAGTTTTGCATTTTTATTCTAATCAACAAATTGTTTCAAATAGATTTAATTCATGAAATAAAATAGTCGAGAGAAAAAACGTTTCGACTTTTTTAACGGTCAAGATAGCCATTTTCGAGCTCGGGGGGAATGCAAAATCCTGTAAAGTCACAAGCTCAGCAAACCAGAGCATCGGTATTGTAACGTAGCGTTTGAAATATAAGGGTTTGTATGGGATTAAAAACGGTTGTCTCTGTAACCTACTAATTTAATATCATCGATTGAAATAAAAATCGGCGGCTAACTAGACTTAGTTGAGTTGTGTTTCTTCTTTCACATGAGGTCCTCGAGTCGAATTATCAATAGACCATAAGCAAACCGGTCACAATAAAACTCACGCAGGTTAACAATAAAAACCGGCTTGAAGACTAGGGGGTAGTCCCTATAATGGCCTATACGGGGAGGCTCCGCCCGTAAGGGGTACCTTTTTATGGCTTCAGGTGTATCAAAGGGTAGGGATTTTACATCGTTGAAGTATATGAAAGAGTAGCGAAATCTGTCATTTGAGTCTGTAAAAGGGCCCGAAAGGACTAACAGATGAATTTTATGGCTATGAAAGAGTCTAGTTTTGTGATTAATCATAACTATAACAAAATTGTCAAATCTGATTGGCTATTAACTGCCCTGATTTCAGACTTAATTGGACAGTTTAATAGGACAGTACGCGTCATGCCTAAGTAATTGGACAGTACGCGCCATCACGCGCGCGCTTAAATGGCTTTTTTTTTCACTGCTAGCAAAACAAAATTTCGAATTTCTTGTGTTTTGATTTAAAAAATAGCCTATTATATCACAAATTTTGTTAAAGTTATGATTAATTGGTAACAGAACTTCGTGTCGTCCAATTCGGTCTGTAATCATACTCGTGATTAAACGAATCGGACTCCCGCTACGCGGTCGTCCGATTTTGTTAATCACTCGTATGATTACAGACCGAATTGGACTCCACTCAGTCCTGTTACCACTACTAATCCGTCTTTAAAAGTGCTTAAATAGGTATATGAAAGGGGTACCAGTGGTCAATAGAAGGCATGCGAAAGGGATACCTTTTCTGACAAAAATGGTATATAAAAGGGTAAGAGGTTGGACCTCCGGAAGAAGCCTACCCATCATGCAACTTTCTTTTCCCCCAGGGTTGAAGATCACACATGAATTCGAACGTTACACAACGGTGCCGACGTATATGTTTCGAGCTTGGGCTACCATGCGCATCTTCCTCTTACATTTTCAAAAGATCATATCTTGATATTTTACAATAATTTTCAGAATTTTGTAAGTTTCACTAGCGGTCCGACGGACAGTTTAACTTTTGAGAGGTGGGAGAGGTATAGATTATTTTGAAAAACAAAATCCTGTAAACAGATAGAAGGAAAAAAATCCTGCCACGAATTAATAGTCCTAAATTTACACCAAAAGACTTAGGAACTAGGCTTAAACCTCATTTACACGCGCTCAAAAAATCGGCAACGGCACGCCAAATTTTTGGCACCGTGCCTCGTTTACCCGTACCGAGACTACCTCCGCGAGGTAGTTTCGGCACCCCTAAAATTTTTAGCACTGGTGCCACATTACATTTGGGACCGGCACGTTTACACGTCGAAAATTGGGAGTGCCGTGCCTTAAAATCGTCAGCACGGTGCCATAAATTTGGCGTGCCCTGCCGATTTTTTTAGCGCGTGTAAATGGGGTTTTAGAAAAGAATTCGAGATCACCAAAACTAAATCCCCCAGCGTCAGCCCCCCTACCCCACCCCCTCCTAAAAAGTAAATAAAGACGCTAAAGATTTACATAGAAACAATGGAATTAATACTAAAATGAACAATGCTTATTTAAGTGTTGATGAATGCACTAAAACAAAAGAAAATGCTAATGCACGGTTCTAAAACATTTCACTCTCCTTGAACACTTGAAGCACAAGGACAGCAACAACCTTGTAGACTTATTTGGGTGTTTGAATGGTATTCATCAAATATTGACAGAACAGAAATGAGTCACTTAAAGTGTGCCGTTGTTTATTGACACGTGCATATGGTAAAAAAAACACACACACACAAAAGACAACTCAGGACACGAAAAAATGTCATGTAAGGCTCTAGGCCATACAGACGATTACAAGACAGAAGCCACATCACTAGTCAGATCACTTCGCGTAAGAGACGTTACACCTGATCCTTCATCAATAAACCGTCGACGTGAAAGAAGAAGCCAAACATCCTATCTGAGTTGAAATTTTCGCGATGTCTTATTTTCCTTTCCGTTTTCACTTTAGCCTTTTGCTCCTGGCGTTGTTTGTGGCGAGCCAGTCTTTGGCGAAGCAAGCAAATAGCGCCCAAGTAACTACAGTCCCCACAAAACAGTGCACCAACGTCTACAACAGTTTCTACGCGGGTCCAAACAAGAAGATTGAGAATATCCTACAGGAAATGAAGAAGCAACTTGGCGAACTTCAGGAAGATATGAAAATTTTGAAAAATAACAAAACTTCTTCCAAAGGTCCACGAAATAATATCTCTAGAATCAATTAACCAATGCGTACACATTCAGTAAATAACTCGCATGCAATTATATCAATTTAACGAATACTTCCTCTTTTTTGCTCAACAGCCAAGAAAAACTGTGCTGAGTTGTACAAATCGGGCGAGAAAATCAGCGGCGTTTATACAATCGATCCTGATGGCACAGGTACCTTCGATGTGTTTTGTGACCAAAAAACGGCCGGTGGGGGGTGGACAGTGTTCCAAAAGAGACTGGACGGCTCGGTTGATTTCTATCGCGGTTGGGCTGACTACAAACGAGGTTTTGGTAACCTAAACGGTGAATTTTGGCTTGGGTTGGACAAGATTCACCGCTTGACCAAAACAAAAAGCAAGCTACGAGTTGACCTGGAGGACACTACGGGTAAAACTGCCTACGCTGAATACGACATGTTTGCAGTTACAAGCGAGAAGGCTAGTTCCAAGCTTAGCTTGGGAACATACTCAGGTACAGAGTAGATGCACACTATCACGGCTTTATATGCTTTAATACTTTTAATACTTCCCTATCTCTAATCATTTTTCACTTAGCTCACTTTACGGCAAATATGAGAGAATCTAACACGGGACTTGATTATTTTACTGACTGCGTAAATCGGTTTTCCCAGTTTGACTCAATAGTCGTTGCTTGAAACTGCTTAAACTGACAACGCAAACTTTCGCTAATTTTCTTTTTTTTTCTTTGACCGTTAGATTCATCGAGTAAATTGATTTTCACTCAGTTTTTTCAGTAGAGTAGAGTAGAGTAGTTGAAATCTTTAATTCTTAAAAAATTATAAAATGAGCTCTGTCATTTTTCCCCAGGAACTGCAGGTGATTCTCTTTCTGGTCATCGTGGTTACCCATTCACGACTAAAGACCGAGATAACGACAGTGCATCCGGCGGAAACTGTGCTGTAAGCAATAAAGGAGCCTGGTGGTATACGGCCTGTCATGCCTCTAACCTGAATGGCCTCTACCATCATGGCAAGTACAAGGTAAACACCGACGGTGTGAGCTGGTATACATGGAAAGGACACCACTACTCCGCAAAGACAGCTGAGATGAAAATAAGACCAGTTGACTTTTGAAACATCTTCTGAAGTCTGTTAGTCCGACAGCTGTAAATGTTTGACTTATCCAGCATGCAGAGCATAAAGTGCATGAGATGAAAGAAAATAAAAATCACTTTAAATACTTTAATTCTTTGTAAGGCATTTTTTTTCACTTTGGCTTTCAAGTTATCGACCGAAGGACAAGTGTAATAGCATCAAGGACAAACAATACAGTTAAGCCATTGTTCATAACATTCATCGGCCTTTCTCCTGCAGTGTAAGTCATTAAGACACATCACGGTTGTCCAAGTTCTTGTTTTTAGTTTTCACTGAAAAAAGGTCCTTCGTGGGTGGGTGAAGCATGAAAGCAGCGCGAAGGTATTTAAGGGATAAGGAAAACCATATTATTCAGTAAAATGTTATCAGTCATGAAACAGTGGCAAGGCCCTCAGTTTGTTCTTCTTCTAAATCGTCAGAAGCCACTTTCTGTACTGCACAAACTTGAATGGTCTCGGCGTGGGATTAATGCCTCGTGTTTTTTTGTTTTTGTTTCTTTTTTATTTCTGTTCTTTAGCCATTGTTTGTTTTTTCTTTTTCCATACATATCACTATCGCGAAAATCTGGAACAGCATGTAAAAAGCTGAACAAAGCTGTGAGGCTACGGTTAAAAAAGACGTTTGTTCGAATTTTGGCTTGTTTCAAAAGCAGCTTGTCATAAAATGTGACATCTCAACGAAAAACTTTGTTTTATTTTCATAAATAATCAGACATAAACTCTCGAGAATTTTATTGCCTCGAGACACCCCTGGCCACAAAACAAAAGACTATATGGCCAGCTGCTTTGTTTTGGATAACACAATTCAGTACAAAATGTTTGTGCGATTTCTTTATAAAATCACACTGAAGTTGCGCTTCAACAAGTACATTTAAGTTCTCTGGAGCTCAACTATGAAGTTGTCAGTTTTCCTTGGGATCATAACTACCTTAATAGCTGAGAGTACTGGTAAGGGGAAACTGACACAATGTGTGACTCAATGTTGCCTGATTTGCTATGGCGCATTTCTAAAGGCTTGGGCTCCAATATCATTCCCAGAGACCGCGTTTCCCTTGACCATAGGATGAGGGGATATTGCTTGGGTTTTCTTCATACCACGCGAGTTGAAAACCGATTTTTTGGGGACTTCACATGGTAGCGCCGTCGAAGGGAGAAATTTTCGAGGACGCGCGCGCGCACGAGGTGTTCCCCTGGCGCGCTCTATATAAACTAAGCAAAACAAAAACAAACACAAAAAAAACTGGTGCCTGCTTTGCAGGCTCGACTTCACGCTAAAATTGGTCTTTTCATTGGTAAAGAATAACTGCTGGTGTGTTCTTTGAAGGCCAGGTGCATACCTTCGCCTAAGTCCACCCTCAAGACTGCACAAGAGTCTAAGTAAACTTAAGCAGAACTTAAATAATGACTGGAACTGAATAAAGGAACCACGGGCAAAAAGTGCAGTGATCATGAATTCCTATATGTCTAGGTTATGCAAAGCATATCAAGCCAAATTGAGCCAAAGAAGGAGCAGTTTCTCAAATTTCTTTCATGTTTATTATGCAGCATGGGAGCTCATTACAGAAAAGGAAACGATCCAACAACACAGCAAGACTTCGAGATTGAACGCATCATAATGCACGAACACTACAAGAAACCATTTGGCATGAGCAATGACATCGCTTTGCTAAAACTTAGCACACTAGCTAAGCTTAACAAACGCGTGGGCCTGGCGTGTCTACCAGATAAATCCGTGGATCTGCCAATTAACGACATAAACAAGAAATGCTGGATTACAGGTATGAAATGTTTTTTCAACCCCGTGCAATGTGATGTTTCTGGATATCTAATAAAAAAACTCCCCGTCTGGCATCATTTCTCCCTCGAGATTTGCCGAACAAAGGAACACCATATTGCTTTGTTTAGAATAATAGGTAACGCATGAGTACTCCAAGATTGTCTAGGCCTCTCCCGATACGTCACCTAATGCATTGACCGAGAAGGCCTGGGAAGGCGCCGTACAGGGACTAGGCAACCTGGAGATCACCTTGTTTGAGAGGTCTCGTCACAGATTCGACACAACGTTACATCACGAAATCAAACATCTCACAGTTCGTCGAGAATACTCCATTGAGCACATCCTCAGCTATCCTCAGAGACCCGAGGACAATAGAATGGCCATGGGATGTCTACAGGCGAAATCACCGCAAATTTTATAAGAAGAACGGAAGATCATCCATGCACTTAAATGTTACTGATCCAGTTCCAGAAACATTGGAACTACTTCAAAGTGGCTGTCCAGTACTTTTTGTAAACATTGCCGGGGGTGAATACGCACTTAAACATTTCGTCCAACTTAGCTCATGACTTAGCTGACCTTGCGTCTCGGAGATGCATAATGCATCGTATTTTCAACTTTCTCCTTGACAATATGTGTGAAGCTTTGCGTCTCGTGTTTGATTAGTTACGCGTGAAGTTGACGCTTAGCAACTGTCTTTTGCTGAAGAAATAGCGGGTACTCTATCTGGAACATACATTTCTCCAAGAAACCACGAGTTTCTTCTATGAACACAGCCATGACATTTTTGTGGTAACTTTTTTTCGATTTTTCGAAAGTCAGTTTTTATGCTGTAGAATACTGAGAAGCAAACGGTACCATACAAACTTATCTCTAAAGATCTTTCAATTAAACGCAAAAAGCACAGGATTTGCCAATTATTGTGGGAATGAAATGGTAAAAGTAGACTTTTTGCAATACCAAAATGAGACAATTTTGATTTTATTTGGCCTAGCACATTGTTTGCAAATCTTGAACTCTACCCAAGGCTAAACGTCCTTTGCTTAGTATAAACTGTACTGTACATTTCAAGGTTGGGGAACACTGGCCTCGGGAGGCTCTTCAGCCACAGAACTCATGCAAGCCAAAGTACCGCTGGTATCCAAAGAGCGCTGTCTCAAAAGCTATCCCCGAAGAATCTATGATTCCATGCTGTGCGCAGGTCACGACGAGGGAGGAGCAGACACATGTCAGGGTGACAGTGGGGGTCCCCTGGTGTGTAAGTATGGAGGCAAATGGCATGTTGAAGGAGCCACAAGCTGGGGATACAGATGCGCTGCAAAAGGATACTTTGGTGTCTATGCAAACGTCANCTATGAACACAGCCATGACATTTTTGTGGTAACTTTTTTTCGATTTTTCGAAAGTCAGTTTTTATGCTGTAGAATACTGAGAAGCAAACGGTACCATACAAACTTATCTCTAAAGATCTTTCAATTAAACGCAAAAAGCACAGGATTTGCCAATTATTGTGGGAATGAAATGGTAAAAGTAGACTTTTTGCAATACCAAAATGAGACAATTTTGATTTTATTTGGCCTAGCACATTGTTTGCAAATCTTGAACTCTACCCAAGGCTAAACGTCCTTTGCTTAGTATAAACTGTACTGTACATTTCAAGGTTGGGGAACACTGGCCTCGGGAGGCTCTTCAGCCACAGAACTCATGCAAGCCAAAGTACCGCTGGTATCCAAAGAGCGCTGTCTCAAAAGCTATCCCCGAAGAATCTATGATTCCATGCTGTGCGCAGGTCACGACGAGGGAGGAGCAGACACATGTCAGGGTGACAGTGGGGGTCCCCTGGTGTGTAAGTATGGAGGCAAATGGCATGTTGAAGGAGCCACAAGCTGGGGATACAGATGCGCTGCAAAAGGATACTTTGGTGTCTATGCAAACGTCAGATATCTGCTAAACTGGATCAATGAAAATATGGCCAACTACTAACAAGTGCTATAGGCAACTAGATGATCATCTCTAGCTGTAATGTGATTTAAGCATGCATGATAAAACAATGCTTAATCAATAAGTTCAGTCTGTTTTATTGGAAATAACACAGGGGCACGCTTCCAATTAGTGGGGCAGGAACGCGTGACAAACCCTCAAGAACGTTTGCGTGAGAGGCTAGCTTCCAATAATCCCTCTTCCGTCCCAGAGGGCGCGATATTTACGGGTAATTTAGCCAAACGATGTAGCCTCTGTTAAGAGCCTTCGTTCACTGATCGTCTGTATCACACCATATAAGCATCAATATTGTTTCCTTTTTTTCTTTCTCCTTTTATAAAAGCCCTTTCCTCTCATCTGACACCTGCAACTTGGCAAGTGATCGAGTCAGTCATTTCACTTTCATAGTCTTTCAAAGCGTTCGCCGAGCACTCTTCTACTTCACTGTGTCCGACACCTTTGGATAACTCCTGTAATTGATCCTACAGTAAATTAAAAGTAGAAGAGTGTGAATGGTTTGAGCCTAAAAGTCATATTATAAGTAGGTGAAATGTGATCAGGCGAGTGTAGTTCTGCACAGGATTGTTGTTGACAGTGACTGATGTTTCGACAACCTCTGCGGTAGTCATTTAGATGAAAGATTCTGAAGATGACTCGAGGTGATGGATAGCCTGTTCAAGGTATTCAGATAGTATAGCGCGGCGGTCAGATGGCGTGGAGCGAGTTAAATTGTGAATTTTCTTTCTTCGTGAATTTTCTCCCGCGCTCTACTATCTGAACGCCTGGAACAGGCTATTCAGTAAAGCTTTCAACTTTCCCGCAACAAAACAAGAAACACGAAAGTAAAACCTGAAGTCAGGTTAAAAGTTAAGAACTGTGAGTCCAAGACATAACTGCTTAGAGAAAATCTAACAATAAAGAACCACCACCAACACCATCACATCATAAACAACACTCAAGAATAACAACTAAAAAGTGGATAACTCAAAAAATAATAAGGTGCAGTATTCGTCACACATTTACAATCTGTCACTCAACATGGCGAGGATATCTTTCTAGGGATTTTATAGTTTATACATTCCGTTCTCTCCAATAAAAAAGACTCGTGTTTATTGTTTAAAACGGGAAACGCGCTACATTCGAGGTAGACTTTGAAGATCACAAGAAGAAAAACTAAGAAGCCATGGCAAAAGCTAAAGCTTAAGACACTTCTAGAACACGAAAAACACTCAAACTCAAAGTAGTGTAGTCGTGACGTAAAAACAAAAACGCGGCCTATTTTCCTGACCCTTGAAATAATTACAGTTTCAATTTATTC